AGAGAGAGAGAGAGAGAGAGAGAGAAAGAGAGAGAGAGAGAGAGAGAGAGAGAGAGCCGCGATAACATCGAAATATACACTGGTACACGTCGCGCGCGCACGCGTGTGTGTGAGTGTGTGTGTGTGTGTGTGTGTGTGTGTGTGTGTGCTATGTGACACCCGAGGCCGCGGCCGCGGACATTTCGGCCGCTGCAGCCGGGAATACCCGGCCGCGGCTGCGGCCTATGAGGCCTCATCCGCGGCCTGTTTTTTTAATAATCATTTTTTTCCCCTGAAAATACATAAACAAAATATATATATGGGGGTGTAGGGCTTCAAAAACCCTACACCCCTATATTTTTTTTTTTGGAATCCGACTTTGTTTATGATTTTTTAAAAATCAAAAACTAAAATTGATTTAAACGAAAAAATGAAAAACAAATATAAAGAAAAGGAAGATTTTTTTTTTGCCATTTTTTATCATGAGATATATGGTCCCTGAGTACCATGGTCACCGCAGACCCGGACACCGGACATTTCCGGACTGTCTTCCGGATCTGTGTCCGGACCGGTCCGGACTGTCCGGTGATCCGGACACTACCGGACACCCGGACATCCCCGGACCCGGACTGTTCGGACCTCGTCAACGGGTGCAAGATGTCCGAAAAAGAAGAAAAAAAAAAACAAAAAAAAACGGGGAGGGAACTCACCTCGTTCGTGCTTCGAGGCGAAGCACCTGCATCAAAAGGTCTACACAAACTCTGCAGTTCATTGGACAAAGGACACACAAAGTTGGACTTCCGGGCAAGCACGGTTCAAAACTTCTAGTTCATTCAAGATCAGCAGCATTCACTGCCATTCAGCAAACACATTCAAGTTTATTGAAATTTGAAACACGACAGTACAACAAAGACAGACAGTGCAATGGCTTAACAAAACACATTCAACAGACACATTCAAGTTGATTGAACAAAGTTCAATCAACTCCCTCAACAAACTTGAAAGACTTCAGCTGTTTAACGAATTCCAGCAAAAAAGGTCAATTTTCAAGTTTCAACAGAAGAAACTCTAGCAAACACATCCGAAAATGCCAAAATGGTTTCTCTTTTTCTCTCTCTCTCTCTCTCTCTCTCTCTCTCTCTCTCTCTCTCTCTCTCTCTCTCTCTCTCTCTCTTCAGCGTGATGTCTGACTGCGCTGTAAGTCGGAGTCGTCCTTTGCCTCTGACGAACTCCCATCTCCCTACTGGCCTTCGCATTCGGAGTCGTCCTCTTCCTTCGACAACCTCCCATCTTTCTCGCCGCCATCACTGCTGCCACGGCCACCTCCACTTTCATTGCTGCTGCTGCTGCCATCACGCGCACCTCTGCTGCCGCCGCTCCCGTCATCGCTGCTGCTTTCATCGTTGTTGCTGCTTCCGTCTCTGCTGCCATTTTTGTCAGCGCTGCTCGTCTTTTCAAGCGCTTCCTCCTCCTCCTCTTCGGCAGGCTGCACCTGCAAACGTCCCCGCTTTCGCGTCCCCCTTCTATTTTCAGCCTCCTCCTCTTCCACGGCCGCCTTCCGCAGTCGTCCCCGCTTTCGTGTCGCACGTACGGGTGCAGCAACCCTTTCCGAATCTCCACCATCCACATCCTCAACTTCCTTGTCACCTGTCCCCTCATGAGTCCCACCGTCCTTTCGAGGTCTCCCTCTCCCTCGTTTGGCCGGTACGGAGGGTGGTGCACATACAGCAGCCCGCGCAGCTTTGTACTTGTTGGCATGCTCGAGGGTCATGGTCCTCGTGGCCTAATCCAAATCATACAAATGCTGCCGGGCCAAAAACTTGGAAGCTTTCGTTGCCTTCCGCCACGACTCGTTGAGCTCCCTCTCGCGCTCGAACAACTCGCTGCGCAGCCGACGATGCTTAACTGTGACCTCCTCCGCAACAGCTGTTTGTTGCACTTGGACAGGAATGTCCTCCTCGTCGGAGCCCGAGTCGTCATTCTCACCTTCGTCGTGGACCGAATGTGTTCCGCGCAAGCGGGCACGCCACTCCCCCAACCGCAAGCGTGCATTCGACGCCATCTCATCTCGTGTGAGATCTTCCACGGGCTCATCCTCTTCCCACTTCGCCGCATCGTCAGCCTTCTGTTTCTTGGTCAAGAAGTCCAACAAGTGCTGGTTCCATCTGTTGAAAACCAGTGTGCTTAGCTTCACGGTGCCAAGATTGTTGCGAAGACGGCTGTGAATCCGTTCGAACAAGTTCCAATTCCTCTCGCAACTCGAGGAGGAGCAGCCTTGTCCAAGGAGCCGAACGGCTTGCTTTTGGAGGATGGGCATGTCGCTGCACCACTTCCGCCACCACCTCGCCGGCTGCATCGTACGGGCTTGTGTCCTTGCATTTTCGCTAGTGTGTTGCCCGATGCCCTCGATCCAAGAACAGACCTCCGCGTCGACCTCCTTTTACGCAGTCTCCTTGCACCACGAGTAAAACCATGTCCACACCCCGTCCACAATCTCTGCATCGGAATCCGGCTGCGACGCTCTGTGCTCCGGATCCAAAAACAGCGCAGATTAATGCAGTGGTGAAGTCATCGTATTCCAGCGCCGCATTATTATAGCCTCTTGCTCATCCTTTTCTACTTCCGTGAAGTGCCTGCTCTCCCTTAGTTTCTCCACAACGCTGTCCACACGGGCGTAAACCTTGCTGATGGTGGGACCCGTGCCGTCGACCATCTTCAGAAGCTTGAGGAGTTCCCTGGACGTTTGCATCACCTTCTCGATATCGACCCAGAAGGTGTCGTCGAAGATGGAATGTGTCACCCTCACAAACAGCTCGTGTTGCGAAGTGTGCACAATCGTTGGCTTCCAATCATCGTCCGTCAAACACGCTCGCAGCGGCAAGTACAACCCCTGCAGGCTCGACAGCATGATGAAGTTCGTGGTAAACCGGGTCGCACCCGGTTTCGGCACGACGCTGCCGTTGGAGCAGTGGAGGAGGAGATCTCGCACCCCCGAAAGGTTCGTGAAAAACTTTGCTACCTCCGACACCCTTTTAATGACTTCGCCCACCCACGTGATCTTCGCGAAAGACTCGAAAATGAGGTCGAGTGAGTGAGTTGTACATGGGACCGAGAAGATGTGCGGGTGATCCGCTTCCACCATTCGCCCCACTGCTGCACAAACGGCAGCATTGTCCATAACGACCCCCACCACTGCCTCCGCACCTATCTCCTCTATTGCCGTCTTCAGAATGCCATAGTATGCCGAGGCGCCTTTGTTGCGCCCTGACATGCACACACTTCACCAGAAGATAGAGCCCTTCGGAAAGGAGACCATCACGTTGATGTGTGGTCTCTGTCGGCGATCTGTCCAACCGTCAAGCTGCAACAAGCAGCCAGTGCTTGGCCACTCCTGCCGCACGTCCTCCACCCTCTTTGCGACCCTCCCCCTCGTCACTTCAACCCTCTTTGTCCTTGCACTCTCAAATTTCGCGTACCGGAATCCTTTCGGCGCATTCATGAGTGCAAGCACCATTCTCTCCCAGTACTCGCTCCGCATCATATTGAATGGGATGCATTCTGCCGTCATCCAGTCGTCCACTGTGCGTTGTGTTTGCTCGTGCGCCATGATAACGGCAATACTGTCCTCGATCATTGTTTAACGGAGGTTGGCTATACCTATAGACGACTGGGGAGTCGCATGAAGGAGCCCCGCCGCAGACTCCGATCGATCGACCTCTCTACCTTCTACAGTCCGCTGCTCGTTGTCGTCCTCCGACGACCCCCCCTTGGCAGTCTCTCCCATAACGACTCCCAACTCCGACCTCGCAGCCAATCTCCCCTTCACCCTCCTCGAGTACTCTTCTCTCGGCACAACGCCTCGCAGGCGCTCGACATCGCATCGCGAACCCTTCACCAAATGGTCCCTTGCCCTGCTCGCTGCCCCGGATACAAGCTTGTCACAGAAATTGCACCTCCGCTGTTTGTTACCCTTGTCGACTCTGCCGCTGTCCCCCACCTCCGTGAAGTGCCTCTTCACGGCCTCACTACGGCTCTTCGTCATCCTGCAACGAAACAACGAAAGTGGAAGGAGCAATGTGGGTTAAAGCCAATTCATTCAACAACCCTCAATGCTCTCCGTCCCTCAACTCTCTCACTCGTCCACTCTCTATCCGCATCCACCAGGCTACAAAAGACAACAGTTCAAGACGAAAGACCATCAATCAATCAATCAATCAATCAACAACAACAACAACTAATCAATCATTCAATCAATCATTCAATCAATCAATCAACAACAACAACTAATCAATCAATCAATCAATCAATCAATCAATCATCAATCAATCGATCAATCAACAACAACAACAACAACAATCAATCAATCAATCAATCAATCAATCAATCAATCATTCAATCCCCAGACCTCCCCCTCGAGTCTTCCCCATCCCTCCCCAGACCTCCCCCCCCGGAAAGTTTGAAAGATAGCAGCAAGACAACAGTTTGCTACAAACGACCGACAACAACAACAACAACAATCAATCAATCAATCAATCAATCTCCTCGAACCTCCCATCTCCCCATCTCTCCCTATTCCCCCCCTTTCTCCCGGAGCCTCCCACCCTCCCTTGTCTCGCCAAACCTCCCACCCTCCCTTGTCTCGCCGAACCTCAGTCCCAACACCACAAGTCTTCCCCATCTTTCCCCGAACGTCCTCCCTGACCTCCCCATCCTTCCCCGAACCTCCTCCCAGACCTCCCCATCCTTCCTCGAACCTCCTCCCAGCCCCCCCACCCCCCCCCGAAAGTT